ATAGTGTTTAAGTAGTGGAAATATTATTTGATTTATTTATAAGAAAATCATATAAAAAAAACAAAAATAAATAAATAAAAATAAAAAAAAATGTAATAATTATTATTTACCATAATTAAATATTTATAATAATGATGAAGAATTCCATCTTTTTTGTTAATTACTTATATATGTGTGCGTTTTGTATATGTTTTTTAAGAATATATATGAAAACAAATTTTATTACATATTTGTAAATTCTCACACATCCATACACATACATGAATTATTTATATAAAATAAAAGAACAGAAAAAATATTGAAATGAAATTTAAAAATAAAACAGAAAAAAAAAAATTATTTACAATATTAAAAAGAAAAAAAAAAAAAATCGTGTTCTCTATGATCAGTAAAAATCATCAGCGCTTACGTATTTAAATAAAATAGATCAACAACAAATGTCGGCTTTACTCCAGAAATTTTCATCATATCACCTAAAAGTGCATAGAGTTTGCTTCAACAGCATATTTGAGGAGAAGTTTTTATCAACTGACGGAACTCGCAATATTATAAAAACACAGCAACTTGGAAAGAAAGATGCAAGCAATTTAAGCCAACAATTTAAATTGAAAGAAAGATTAAGTTCTATTCTATCTCAGATATGTCGCTCTAAACTTTCCTCCTCCTCCTCCTCCTCCTCCTCCTCCGCCTCCTCTGCTCGCTTGTTCTGGTCTGCTGGCTTTCAATGTCGATTCTTTTTCATTTATAATGCACTCACAATCTCTTATGTACAATCTATTCACATTAGTTTTAAATTGTGTATAGTCTGCCGACTTATATTCACTACAACTAATACTTAATTTTCATTCAAAAGTTTTTCCTTATTTCCACTTCAATATATATGCGTAATATAGAGTGCAGAGTCTTTCAGAAAAATCGCCTCTGAGTCATCAGTTTTTTTTATTGTTATTAATTTCATTATTAATCAATCCATTCTTTGAATAGAGAAAATCATTACTTACAGGTAATACTTCCCTTTCTATAAGTAGAAATCATTTTGATTATTTACAATCGGGGTTCAAAATAAAACAAAAAGGCCGACCATATGTTGGAGACATATTTGTGGAAAATTTGAATATTTTTCAATTTCTTTTGTCACTATAGAAGAGCCGACTTTCATGACAGCCCATGTATGCATATATGTGCGAGTCTAAAAAATATATCTGTGTGATTCAAATTCCATGCTTAATGATTAATTTTTACTGCCCTTTCCTAAAGAACTTAATATTACTCTTATAAGGAACGATGACCAAAAAATAGATGCATGTGGTTCAAATTTCGTCCACTTAATTCTTATGTAAAACTATTGATATGGATAAATTTTCATCATAAATTATTAAAAATTAAACCTTTTTGACCTATAAGATTTCAATATTTTATGATAAACCTTACATGTGATTATATCCGAAAAATAGACAAATGCGGTCCACATTCAATAAGGATAATTTGCATGTGAAATTTCTTATAATAAACCAATTCTCGCTATGAAACATTTAATATTATATGAAGATTCAATTTTCGTAGGAACGTTTACATAGCAGGAATTCGAAAAGTTTTCCTATCTAATCGTAATTTCTCGAATGAATTTAGAATGCCGAAATACCATCACTTAACGATCTTTGTTGCGAAATTCCGAAAACAACAATATTTGTTCAATTGTCAGAACAAGACATTATATGGGCAACTGAATATTTTAGTCATCCAGGTAAGATCAGACAAAAACTCAATCTGTGGGACAATGAGATAATGCCGGCCTAGGTAAGTAGTTGCTTGTGTGCTTTCCGGCTCCACGACGCTTTGCTTTCAACACGTAATTAATAAGTTTTTATTAACCTATGCGCGTTCTTGCCTGATCAAGTATTGGTCGGAACATAGAATTTCTCATTTTAACCGCTGACATTACTGTAAGCAGAAATAGATTCATTTCAAATTACAATTAGTCGCGTTAACTACAACGGCAAACTAATCATTGGAAGATTGAAAATAAATGTAAACACCTTACGCGAACCCAGAGAAAACACATTGACCTAACGGTAACACGGGCGGAAAAGAGAACCTATGCACATTAAGATTGACTCATGCTGATTTTTCCTTCTCTAAAGGTTAATATGGATCCTTCCGCAAGTTTATAATTTAGCCTTGCCTCGAAAAACTGATATTCGAAAAGGATCAAATTTTGAAATAATATCGCAGGATCTGCATGCAATATAAATCTGCACTAAATCTAATATACTCGGTATCGTAGGTATAAAGAATTTTACGAGTTTTATATACCTTTTTGGAATGACGATCATTCGCCTCAAAACATGTTTACCTATCTTACAATACATTGCATATTTATTAGTAGTACCTTATGATTTCAAAAAAATTATAAAAGTGTTAAATTCTACTTAAAGTATTACTTATTCGCTATAAAGAACTTCGTTTGCTAACCATTTCTCAACATAAAGCATTCATATATATATATCATATCTAAAATACGGCGGCCAAGTCATTACCTATTTTCTCTGGCTCCGTATTATTCTGCTCCGTCATCAATTCAGCAACATTTTGCTCAACTGTTTGTAGTTTAATCTCCTTCAAGTGTACTTTTTTATGCGTACGTAAAGCAGCTGGCTGCGTGAAACGTTTACCGCATTCTTTACATTCGTGCGGTTTCTCACCGGTATGTGTCATCTCGTGATATTTTCGAGTGTCCGGTTTGGCGAAAGTTCGTTCACAGAAACGGCAAGCAAAGTCTTTTGCCTGCTCATGCATATTGCGTATGTGCATTTTCAAATTATTGGCACTGTGAAACTCTTTCGGACAGAAACGGCACGGCCAAATACGCTTTAAAGTATGATAGTTGAGATGCGTGCGCAGTTCATTACGCGTAGTTTTGCGCATGCCACAATGAGGACAAACAAAGTTCTTAATGCCAGCGTGCCTCATTTTGTGTACTTGCAGTTTAGCTTTGTTCGAAAACCGACGATTACAATTAAGTTCTTCACAAGCAAACGGTAATTCGGCTTCACTTTTATGCGAAAACCTATGATCGTTGAGGGAGGCTGAAGTTTTAAAGATTTTACCACAAATTTCGCAAATATGCTTTTTCAGGGCGGGACCTAAATGATGTGTTTTACGTTTATGCATATTTATGGCCGATTTAGTCTTATAAGCGCGATCACAATTCTCCACGTCGCACTTATAAAGTCGTGGCCTATCGCCTTTATGATCCTTTAAATGTTGTTCCAGGTTGTGCAAACGATTATAGGAGCGTTCGCAACCTTCTACAGTGCAAGGATATGGTGAAAGACCTTCGTGTTTACGCTTATGGGCTATTAGTCGATGTTCCACAAAAAAGCGTGCCTCACACAAATCGCATTTATAGACTCGCTTGGACGTTGCCGACTTTTTAGGAGATTTAACTGGTGACACGCACTCCTAACAGTGTTCTTATATTAATGGAAATAAAGCAAAATTATTGCATTTTTCACTTACCTGTTCTTTTAGTTTGCCAGTTTTTTGATTTCTCATCTCCTCATCGGAGGATTCTACAATTTGTTTTTTACTACCTTTCTTTTTCGATCTTGTTAAACGTCTCGATCTTTTTGCGTCCTCAGTTGTCATTATTATCTTGTCAATGGTTTGCTTTCTGGACGTTTTACCTTTTTTCTTTCTAATTATTTCAATTTCTGTTGTTTCTTCGATAGGTAAATTACCCTGAAACAAAAGATCACTTTTGATCTCCACAAGTTCTACTTGCAGTTTTTCATGTAAACTATATAACGGCTTTTCGTCTCCATATAAATGCTGAAGATCATCTTCTTGCTTTATTTCAGCATTATTCTGAAGTTTATTTAACGTTTCTTTATATTTTTGCAAAGAATTGCTACACATGAGCTTAAATTCATAAAAATCCAAAATTTTTTCGTAACAACTGCCACAAACATGTTGAGGATATAAATCTAAGGGATCAACCTCCAACGAACAGCATAACGCTAACTTTTTTGCAAAATCAGCCGTCTCGAATATCTGATACATTTCCTTTCCTTTAGATTCTGTCGAGAGGCATGTGCGGCACTGTAACTCCTTGAAGTCTTTAATAAACATTTCACTTACTTTATTTACTGTTATATTTGTGCGAATTCTACCATTTAACTACATACCAAAGCAAACAGCTGTTTACGGCAAACAACTCTGCTTTAAGTGAATAATGATCCGAAAATTGTTTTTGTTTTAACAGCTGCTTATTATGGGAGAAGAAATAATTTATCATTTTTGGCTTGTTTACGATTTTGTAATGCTAAAATAAAATGATGGAAAATTCTGTGCATTATATTGAATTATCCAAAAACCTTATACGCTTCGACGCTGTCAGCCAATTAACTAACGTATTCTTTGATGATTCCAATAAACAAGTAAGTGTACGCTTATAAAAATAGAATTGAAAAATGTTGCTTTATTTTTTTTTTTTTTTTTTTTTTTTGGTTTGTTGAGTGGAGATGGACTAAGCCAATAGAAAATGTTGCTTTATTATAGATCTTTGCGGTGCGTTCAGGTGGAACCACCGGTGTAGTTGTCAAAGGCCCATCTGAAGATAAGGTTATTTCGTTTTGCATGAATGATCGTGGTCCCATACGTTCCATAAAATTTTCTCCTAATAATCAAATTCTGGCCGTTCAGCGACGTGAAAATTCTGTGGAATTTATATGCTTTCAAGGGGATCAACCTTCATTAGAAAATATCATCGTCCATCAAGTTAAAGCTTTAGTTTATGGTTTTGTATGGGTGCACAATCGTGAATGTGCTCTTATTTCCAACGCCGGTGTAGAAATTTTCACGATCATTACTGAAAAAAATCAAGTGAAATCATTGAAATCTATGAGTATGAGCATTAAATGGTTCGCCTGGTGTTCGGAGTCCAATATAGCTATTCTAAGTACTACCGACAGCAATCATACCTTAATGCCGATATTAATTAAACAAAAATCGATTACTAAATTACCAAAATTGGAATGTAAGTGGAAATAATGCACGCTTAAGTTACAATAACTTACATTGCAAATTTCTACTCATTCTCAGTGAGCAATCCAAACCGTGAAGTTCAAGAAAGTAAAGTGACTCTAGGACAAATTTATGGTATTATGGCTGTTCTGATATTGCAGGCAGCCAGCGATTCCGGCATGATCGAAGTCGAAGTTTATTTATTAAACGGTCCCGGTTTGGCCCCACGGAAATCGCATGTTTTACGGTTGGGTTTGGTGGGATGCTTTGCCATCAATACCTTGGACAATTTAATAGTAGTGCACCATCAAGCATCTGCTACTTCTTTAGTATTTGATATCGCACTAAGCGGCGAAGTAATCAACGAGGTAACTTATCACAAACCCATAACCACGCCCAGAAATATCAGGCCATTTGCCTTAAAATTACCTAGTCTGTCTCCGGACGGTAATATCTTACAATGTGATTTATGTAAGTAAAAAATTGAATTGAAAAAAAAAAATATAATTAAAAATTAATTTACTTTTTAAAAATTAATTTACTGCTTAAAGACTCTACAAAGTGGGTGTTGTTCCAACCGAATATTGTAATAGATGCAAAATTGGGTTGTATGTGGTATTTAAATTTGGATATTGAAGCATTTTGCACCTTAATATCGGATCGTATACGTTTAACCGAATTTCTTTTGCAACGTGAATCTGGAAAGCCGGTTTTGCTAAAGGTTTTAAAACAGTTAGTTCAGGACCAATACAACGGTAGTTTATTACCGGTATTGGAAACTATATTCAATAAAGCTAATAAAATTTATGCGTAAGTAGGCTTAAACCGTATATAGAAAAATTAAAAAGAATTGTTTTTCATTTCTTTAGATCGTGGGTTCAAACGGAATTACAAAATCAAACTGCCCAACCGTCCAATGTAAAAACTACAGCCAAATCGGTAACACCTCCTAAAGTGCTAATTGAACAATTAGACATGTACAGCCATGTATTTCAGCCAATTGCTGGAAAGCCACAATGCGAAACTATACTATTGTTATATTTACAATCCCTAGAGAAGCATAACGTGGCAGCTCAAGAAGAGTTAAGTAAGCTACTTATAACCGAGTTAATACGAAACCAAAACTACGAAACACTAAGACGCTTGGTTAGCTATTCCTTGATCATGGAATCAAAGACAATTGCATGCTTTTTGTTATCGCATTCCAATGAAGCTCCTGTCATTACCCAAGTAGCTTTGGATATGTTAAGTAAATCAAAGCTAACGATATAATAATTGAAGTGTTATTGGGTCAAAGTAAAGTTGTAGATGCTCTGCGTTTGGCCAAACATACCACAACACTAGATGACATGTCAATATCGGCCCGCAAATTCCTGGAAGCTGCTCTAAAAACCGGTGACGACATGATCTTCTATAGTGTTTTTAAGTTCTTCCAGATGCGAAATCTCAAACAGCATGGAAGCATGGATTTTTTTAAAAAGTACATATAAAATTTTTAATTTAATTTTTTAATTAAGAAAATTTCAATTTTTTTCCCCTTTTTTTAGCCGAACAATGTGCAGAATTCGTTCAGCATTACAATAATATGGAGACCAAAGAATAAAAATCGGGATAAATAAAGCAATGAAATCGTTAAAACATTTACAAAATTTGTTATAGTGAGAATTTTCAATTGAAATATTTTTTTTATACTTGATGATTAAAAAAAAGTATTGATTTCACAATAACGGGTATAGGAAAGAGCTATTAGTTTCACAAATATTAGTCTTTTTGAATACGAATTGGGAAATTTAAACAAAGATATGGACTTCAACTTCATAAAGGCTCATCATTTTTTTGATTACATAATAAATATACTTGTTCAGTTAATTGCTGGCCACAAATTTGGATCGTCGTGTGTTTGAGGACGAAGAAAGATCGATTAATGTAACATATCCGTACATAAAATTTTCAATTTCGATCACTTTTGGCGATAAAAACTGAACGGGAATATGACTTCTGTTATAATAAATTACTACCATAAATAAAAATGTGTACATTTTTTGGATCACATGCCGCGAAAAAGATTTATGGTTTTCCAACTGAAACTATTCAAAAATGGACACAATTTCAATGAGATTACCTTTACGGAGAAAGGCTTACTGTGAAATAAAATCGCGAATGCAATTGTCACAACACAGTGAAGTAATCAGGTGCGTCAATCAAGTCATACCCCTCAACTACTTTGAGTTTTTTTGCTTTCATTATCAAAAAAAAAAAAAAAAAATGAATAAATTTTTAAGAAAAAATATTCACAATTTTTTTAACAAATTAATAAATAATTTATTTAAAAAAATTTTTTTTTATATATAAATGTTTTTAGTTTACTAACTTAGTGAGGTCCACAGGCAACATACCGTAATTTGAAAACAAAGTACATTTTTAAAAATACTGTTTGTAAATAAATGTAAGTGTTCTCTTTTTCTTTTTTTTTTTTTTTTTTTTTTAATATTTAGTAAAGTTGTTTTTAATAGGAAAACATTTGCCTTACATAAAAAAAAAAAAAAAAAAAAAAAAAAAACGAAGAGAAAAATCAAAAAGAAAAGCATGATTAGCCTAAAAATAACAAGTGTTTCTTAATTTAAAGTATTATTAGGATAACGTTTCTGGCTTATCTAGAATTTACGAGGTGGCGACTTTAATGATAAAGTCCCTAATTCTCTAATATTTGGGTTGAAAGGTTCAAAGTTAAGGTTATGGCTTTGTTCTGAATCGCAGTGCTTGACTTTACCTAATCGAAACGGTTGTTGTAACTGAATTTTATCAATTTCCGTAGAACAGTACAAGCATTTGTAGTTATCTTCGTCGTCTTCGTCAAATGAACTATCATCATCATTATCATCATCATCATCTTTATTATCGTTAGCATTTTTCAGTTCATCATTTGATAGACATTGTTGCTGGTAATGGGCGGAGCATTGCTCGTGCATCGCATGGCCACAACTGCCTAATATCACCACTGGTGCCTGATTATACAAGCGTTGATGGCATATCACACACTTTAACATAGTTACCCATAAACCACGACAACTTAGGCGATGGCGTTGATGGAATTGCTCACATAGTTCCTTTTCCAATATAAGCGCGGCATTTTCCATTGTCACAGTTTCTAAACGAGATTGGGTCAGCATGCTTAGTAACAATTCTTTAATATCACCAAAGTTTCCCGATACATTGCGCGTATTCATCACCATTTGCACTAGTTGAGGTAAATCAACGTAACGTGATGCCTCCTGTAACATCGTTTTGGTTAGCGATTTTAGATCTTCGCGTGGCAAAGCAAATTTCAGTAATTCAAACCATAATAGCTCGCGTTCTTGAGCGCTCATCTTGCTATGATTCGCTAATGAAGAGCGGGCGCATAAGGCCGTTACAGCGCGTGCACACTCAGCCACTTCATCCCCATCTGATGCCTCTTTCATTACTTGCATAGCAAACTCGAAAGCCAAACTAAAGTTGCCTTGCTTTTCAGCCAAATAAATAGCGGCATTAAACAATTTAAACTCTTTCACTAAGGTGAGCGCATTCTCCACACGATATGTCTCGGTGGTCTTAAGATATTCTTCCACTTTGTTAGGCTGATATTTGCACAATAACTTTAACAATTGTTCGCTTTGCTCGTCGCTTAAACGTACGCAACGTTCGTGTAAATTTTTCAGAAACGCAAACAAAATCTCTTCATCATCGTTTATCAATTGCAGAAAATGATTAATGTGGTCCTTAAAGTGTACGTCTATTATACGCGCGCATTCTTTGGCATCAATTTTTAATATCCTTTTGATATGAAGTTCAAGCTGTTCTAGGATTTTACGTTCTGGATTATAGGCATGTCGTTCCATATAAACGAACATAATATCGCGTCGTAATGGATTATTGAGATAACACTCCATAATTGTATCGTAACGTTGCAGCTTTTCTAGAAGATACTCCTCTACATAATAGCAGTGAGCCTTTCTCGCCATATCTAACTGCTCTTCGTCATGGCTTATATTTCGTAAACAATTATTAACCAACAATTCGTACCAAGCATTTTCTCTTTCAGAGTGCAAACGAACGCTTTCGTTTTCCACTTTCTCCATCGATAAGTAATTGAGAACCTTCTCCAATAACTGGGTATCGCAGGATAAGAAATTCTGTGAAATTTGCTGAGCGATAAAATTGAGCAAACATCCAATTTCAGCCCACTGTAAATTATATTAGATAGCCTTAGTACAACGACAATTACATATTATTTGTTTTTCATTCGACAACTTACTGTAGTGTTTTCGGGTGTCATGATCTCCAATAAGATATTAATGATCCGTTTGCGGTGCGAATAGCCTAGCTCGCCTTTAAACTCTTTCTCCTGAAAGGCCAACGAAATAACATTTAAAGTTTCGCGGGTATCGAATTTCAATAAAGCTCTCAGGTAGGGATAAGGCAACTCGTTGGGTTCACTTGTATTGGAATGCAGCGATGTTAAACAACGCAATACTTCATGCTTAACAGTTTGCACTAATTCCTCTTGTATATCGCCGGTGGGATAACCTCTGCCCGCTAAACAACTAGAAATATAAACGAGGATGCAATTACCCAAATCCGGATGTTCGTTTTCCAGCAATGGTATCAATTCAGTCAAAGATATAGTGTAATCATGTAAGGCATGGGCGTTTAGATAAATCTGAGCTCTGTACAGTTTGTGCTTTTTAGCAGCCTTTAACACTTGATTTAAATCCAAGCACGTCCAATCTAATTTCAAGATAATCTCCTCCAGTTTTAATGGTGATATCTTCAGCCAATACTCAACCAACGCTTGTGATATTATTGGATTGACGCGTTGAATATCTTCATTTTCTATATGTTCGGTAATGTGTTGTAAAAATAGTCCACGATTTTGTAAACGCTCCCATAATTGAGACCATAGTAGATCTAACTCGCCGACCGTAATTAAACATTTAATGATATTACCTAAACAGTAGTCGGGTGCACGAGCAGACGCTGCCAGATATTCTTTAAATAACATAATTATACGCTCCTTAGCTTGCTGTTTACGTTTGGGACGTTCCGCAGCCACACGATAGCCTTCCAAAGCTAAATCGCAAGCTTCTTGCCAACGTTGATTTTTTACCTTCATCAAAATTATTACTTATTTAACTTAATTTCCAGCCAATATTCCACTCACCAAATACGAAATCCTTTCCATCCAAGTTCTAACACTAATTGTATGCATGATACGTGCTCCCAATATATATAAATGCACACCTCTAGCACTTAGAGAATTGTAACAAGCATTCGTTCCAGCTAAAGCTAAAGCAGGCGAAACATTTCCCCCGGTAGCCAAGCCTTTAAAGTGCGCCGAACCGTATACCATTCCAGCATTTGCCAAATCAATGCATTCCAATTCTTTACTAGAGCGTACATCCATCAAATGCAATATCTCTGAGGTATCCAAACAACCGACACATTTTGGACCCAACCAATGCACAGACAACAAATTGGTAGGCATGGTAATATGACGCAATAAGAGCAATGTTACACGCCCCTGTGACATGAACAATTGATGAAAAAATAATTGATTGCCACGGCCGACTACCAGAACAGGATCCACCGATCTTGAGCTGTCAGCTGCTTGTATTAGCACCATTTGCCAGGCCAAGACAGGCAAACAGTCAGGGGGCCCTTGCAATAAATGATATTTAATAACTTTCAAACGAGGCCTAATGGTTACAATGAAATATTTTGATAAGGTGGCTAGGGCAACTATACAATATTGATCTAAGTCATGGTGTGCATTACATATGGTAAGTAGAGGCTCTACGGCACACACTTCGCCCCGAGCCCCACTAAATAGGCAGCGTGTTGAACAACCTCGAACGCCTAGTTTGCGTGTAAAGCTTAATGACCACACTGAGCCACCTGAGTCAGCTGCTAAAGCCATTGCCGACCTTGAAGTCCATTTTATATGCAATACACCCGTATTAGGTGTAACAACATCATTCAATTGGCGCATTACATCTCCCGTTTGGGTGTCGAACATCAGTACTAAACCACGAGCAAATCCAGCCAATAATCTGGCACCTTCGGGATTAAAAGCCATAGCGGAAACGGCACCCTGCCCATTTTTATCCTGATGAGCCCATCGTAATGTTTGCGTAACATCAAAATTTAAAATATGACCATGTGAGGTACCTATGACGTAGTAATGGTTACAGACGGTACAGGCAGTAGCCAATCCGGCATTAATACGATCAGCCGCTGAGGAAAGTTGCGCTGATATTCCCTGCAATAAAGCATATCGCATAATACTGCCACTGCCACCAGTGCCACTCACGCGAACGCTACTCTCTTCGGTTAGAGATGGTGTCGGTGTTGGCACTGGTACGCCCAATTCAGAAGCTACATCAGAATCAGCATCAAATTCGCTTAAAACCCTTTCTAAAGAAGGTAAAACACCGGTAGGTGGAATTGAATATTCAATATCATCCAACTGTAAAGCAAATTATTTAAACATACAATATATATTCAATTCCTGGCACAAAACCTCTTCTAAATCCAATAATGATTCGGCTAATAAACTGTCAGTGGAACCACGGTCAGAGCCCAACAACGATTGCAGCGAAGGAGCTTTGAGTTCGTTCATCTTATACAACTTCCAGATAATAAGGGCAAATATTTTATGTACTTATGTATATGGAATTATTACTATCACAATAATCTTTGTCCACCCACTTCTTTATCATCTGTTATTCAGCAATTGGACTCAACGTGTACGTTTACTTTTTGTACATAAAAAGCAACATTATTTCATTACCAAGAAAAAAATAAATATAAATATATGTATTTAAACTATTTTTACAGTAAGTTTTAATGCAATATCTAGTGCTGTAGAAAAATTTTTTTCTTATTCTTCTTCTGCTATTCAGCAAATCAACAACAGAGAGATGATTCGCTGTGTTGTGTAAAAAAGGTTAATTTCGAACACGAAGTTCTTTGTTTAAGTAGGTGAATAAGTAACGAAAGAGAGAAAGAACATAATGGAATTGAACACAATACAAAAACACAAACACACATGATACAAGCTTTACAAAATACTGGTTTTCATCTCTCCACATATAGACTTTCAACTTTCTTTTGCAAGTAAGGACAACACCCGCAATCAATATCAATTAAAATATATTACTAGAGGGCGCTCAAATTATTATCAAAAATAGAAAGAAGTAGCCATCGCGATGAGAATAAATATAAAAATTTATTAGAAGAAAAAAAAAATAAACTAAATAGTAATAAGTAATACCAATAAAAGACACGCAGAAGGAGATTTAGCTCAGCAAATAGCTTTTAAGGAAATAATTATAAAAATAAATAATTTAATAACATGCAGAATATTTTTTATTTTTTTTCAAATAATTATTTTTAATATAATCTCTAAATTAGGCTGTCATTACAAGAAACAATTTTTTATTATTGTTTTGTTGTTGTTGTCGCTTCTTTTGCTTTTTTATTTATAAAAAAAATTAACGAGTCAAGAACTCGTGTTTATTTATTATTACATAATATAAACTAAACTAAAACTACATTTGATAACATGATTTATAATAATTAATAAATCATTGGTTAGCACTATATTAATAGAAGTGCTTGATAGGCGTTCTCCTTTTAATAATTCAAATGAAGAAATTGTGATATAAGCTATATCTGAACATGGCCAGCGGCATTAGATCAAGCAACAAGAAGGCCATAAAAATTTTAAACGCCGTTATATAAAAACAAATCCTTCTAGCGAGTGACTTTCACACAAACTTCTCCTAAGCTTCTCAATCAAATTCGAACGAATGTTACACTAGTACACGTGGCGGCACCTTCATCAGCTATTAATTGAAGAGCGCACAATGCCGGCGATTCGATCATACCCTAAGCTTTTTTGCTCCAGCAGCATGAGGAGCTAACCAATACCGTCTCCTTTCCCATTTCGCGTTCGAATTACACGCAATCATTAGAAACATGAAATCAAATTTTGCACGTTCGGTTAAACGGCGATTGTGTGGTTGTAACTAAAGCAAAAACCGCTTTAGCCAATTTTTGAGGTGAACGATCACCAGACAAGCATTTGACAAAGCGAGCTGCTTATACGCACCCAATGATCGTAACTAAAATTACAAAATTAGAATAATTCAGATCGATCAGGACGATATATATAAGTGTGACATGTACGTAGTCGTAATAGCATGATGATGTGAAGACCCTGCTAGCAAGCCATAAATGAAAGACACGGTACAGAACGGAAAGTAGCAAAATGGAGCAGGAGAAACAACTAAGTGATAAGCAGTACGCTGTTGTGATCGGGGTGAACATATATATATATATATATATATATATATACATACACATGTATATATATAACTAACAAATGGAGGAGTACTTGATGAAATAACATGCGAGCTCAGCTGTACTCAAGCTGAACCACATTACAGTCGGTGATCTTGATGTCTGAGCGATCGAGTGGAGAACTAGATTGACTTATAAGTGCTTATTCGACATTGGACGTGACATCACTCCATGATAGGCCAAGAAACATTCTCCGAAAGAAATGGACAGAAATCAGTTGTCACAACGTCACGTTTGCAAGTACGATATGCCAGAGCCAGATATTGCATACAAACAGTAATCACACCGCGATTGTTACGAGCATCGCCTGATCCAGTGGCGGAAGCGAACGAAGAGTTCTATGTGTGTTTTTAAAAAACCTAAAAGTTTTTGACTAACGTCCGTGCGAACGTACACTGAAATCCTACGCCTATGCCTACGACATTTCTGATCTGAATGCTGAATAAACTAAAATCTGTAAAATTTTTACCATTGAAAAAGAAGAGAAAGATTGTGCGTGCATTACGTGCCATTACGCACGTAATAAACTAAAACTAAAAATGCTCGCATCCCAATGCAACTAAATGATCAATTGAACAGATTAAATAATTGAAATTTCTTTCTTATCATAACATATTGTATATGATCAGGTATGTTATATCATAGTATATATATATATTTAAAATTGTTATGATACTAGATTTAGGTGAATATTTATGAGAAACGAATTCACTCAGCCAAAAGAGAAACTTTCTTTTCCCGCAATCTAACACGGGCGTATATGTGTGTGCGTATAAAAAAGCATACGTGTATTGGTCCGCAGATTTTCAATGCAAAAATCAATAAAAAGAACATTAAGTAATGCGAGGGAAACAAAAGAGAATAACGAAAAATGACACAAAGCCAGTGAATAGTCATGGAATGGGAAATAGAAATATATCGATATACAGTGCGTTGCAGTAGAAATGAGCCGAGTCAAAGTGAATTGCAACCAAAAAGGAAACATGTTTTCCGTTCGATGCAGAATATAACTGTAGGATAAGTACATATACAAACATACTTTACGGTTTTGTGCGTTGATGTGTATATGCGCTGCAAAACGTTATCATTGATGTAATTTAATAAGTAAGAACATTATAGTCGAATAAGGTCGAACTTTAAATACCCTACACCACATTGTCCAACACAATTTTTATTTTTATTATAAAGAACACAAAAATTATATCTTGTTTCTATATAATGGTATATTTTTCATGTACGTACAATACAAGTTTAACCCTTACACAGGACGGAAGCCCAAAATAAGCGTAGTTGGTCGACATTTTGTAGAGTTCATTTTTGTATGAAATTATTATTATGGGTGCATTTCCGTCACCACATATTAAAATTTAGACCTTCCTGCTCTACAAAGGATCAATTTTCGTAAAATTCCTTATTAGGATATAGTCTAAATCTGGTACAGTTAATTTTTTTTATGCTACATTACTATTGTGATACAATTTTTGTCGTTAAGCATTGAAAATTATAAGTTTTTTCAATAGCGTTTGTCAATAGCGTTGGTCAAAACATGTCACGGCACCAAATTTCATCAAAATATCTCAAAAATTGCGACTTGTAGCTTGAACATGGATAGACATCAGAGGGACAGATGGACAGACAGAGTAAGATCAACTGAGATTATGATGGTAGGTATGTCCATCTTAAGCACTTCTGCGTGTTACATATGAACGCATTAAGTTAATATGTACCACCTGTACCACAACTGGTGTAGGGTACAACTTACGATTACATGATAGTCCGCCTTTTGCCGCAATTGTACACCTTTACCCTATGCGTGAGCAGTGTATCTGCAAAAAAAAGATGATAAGACAATCCATTGGCATTAGCGTGGCGAGAACATACGCATACATGCCTAGAGGAAGAAAAGAGAAATGATATGAAACTGGGCTTACATATACAACATGAACTATTTGGGCAGAAGAATGAAAACAAAATTTAAATTCATTATTATATTTACAGATTTCTTCTATTCAAAATTCCTCAAAATCATGAAATTTATAAAAAATAAAAGTATTTTATAGTTTGAAGCCTTAAAGTAAATAAGAAATTCTTAAGAATGAATAGATGCTGAGCACTTTCTTCCTCTTCTATCTAAATTTTATAGAGAAGAGAAAATTATTATCATTTTTATTTATTTATTCATTTAGCTTTTTTTTTTTATCATTTCTCATAAATTTATTGTTTTAATTCGTATTGAAGTATTCCTTTGAATAAAGCAATGCATTTCAAATACAAAATTTTCAAAATAATTTCAATTTTTAATAATTCAATTCAACTTCTTAAAGGGCACTTAGTGACCTTTGCAAGCTATCAATTTAATAATACATCTATTCCCTGCTTTACACAATACTTATTTCATATGTTCTTCACCTCGTACAGTCAATAAATTTGAAAGAAATTAATCCAAAATAATAATTTCGTTCGGATCACATTGATTCACATATCCGTCACTTCCCATAAATTATTTCGAGAATTAAGGCCTTCACACAATTATCCATTATTCCGTTTTTCGGGTTAATCACTCCCAAGTGATAAACGCAATTAGAATCGGCGTTACCATATTGTTTGACAAGAAAGTAAATACCGAATCGAAATTAAAAACATATGGTTTGAGAAGTAAAACCAAAAGATTCGATATAAATGTAAGCAATTAATATATGAAAAGTTTGGATTATGGATCTAACATTAACTTAACTGGTCCAATCCATCTCTAAACAAACAAAAAAAAAAAATAATAATAATAATAACATATGAAAAACAACAATAAGAGAATTAATGTAAAAGTGAATTAAATTTTTAATAGAAGAATGACGAAAGAAAAAACTAAAACGGCTTTAAAAAACGGAACATGAAGAAAAACTTCACTGACGGAATAAAGCCAAGCAAGAGAAAATTGGCACTAAATAGGCTTTATTGTTCGCTTCTCATTCCTCATAAAATAATATAGGGCGTAAATTAAAATGTTAAATCGCTTAACATTCAAAAGGTGTATATTAATAGAAAATAGACATAAATTATATAAATGATTTCGAAATTTAAAATAAATTGTCTTTATTTCTCCTTCCTCGTTTTTTGATTCTTTCTATTTTACTTGCATGTATACGTGCAAAATCATATGATTCGCCAATTCCTGCAACACCCTACTCGAAATCCCATTCCGAAAACGGGTATAATGCATCATTGTGTTAAGCGCTTTCTAAGGACGCAAGGACAAACTTTCAGTATTCAAAATAACAAATTCTTTGACAAGAAATTTAGTTTTACTAAATCTTTAGAAAACGTGGAACCGCGCGAGTCAACTTATTCTTCAGATCTAACCGCTTCCGGTCAGCAGTTCATAGCAGTTGAAGATATTTGAAAATGGCTTGATGGCTCGATGGCTCTTTCGCCTAGAAAACCCGGATTATTTCTACCGTGAGGGCATCCATAAACTGTCCATTATATGAAAAAATGCCAGATGTT